ACAGAGGTACGTTACTGTTAGCGTTTGATAGTCTCTGCCTTCCTGACAAGCGTGGAGTTATGTATGTAACTACATATTGGCTATGCAGTCATTGTGAAACAGGTCTTAGATACAAGCACACAAGGTGTTTTATTCTCTGAATGATTAGGCTGATATGCATATTAAATGGTGACTTAATTTTCACCTTTCTTCAGAAAAGAAAAAGACTCACCAGTTTCATTAAGTCTGGTGTTTATTAGGATAAACTGAGTATTAGTAACAAACAAGACACAATAGCAAATAGTTTGTAGTTAGTGGAATGAACTGAAACATATTATTTTCCATATTTAATTCTTTATTATTCTCTAAATTTCTACTTAATCGTGATTCGTGCTACTGAAAATTTTAGTGGTATAATTCTCCAGTGAGTTATAACAAAATATGTCGATATTACATTATGTATTTACAATTTATTTGCTTCCAGGAACAAACAGAATGGTTGGCCGGCCAGTGTGAAGTGTGGAGGAGTAAATTCTTGGCTAGCAGGTAAATTATATTAAATTCATAATTTAGTAAACAACATTATTTTAAATCAATATGTTTAAAACCACAGTCTGATGACTGTACAAGCAAACGACAAAAACATGGTGAGTCACACCATAAAAGATGCTAATTATTATATTTATTTCAGTTTAATGGTCGAAGAACTGGCACAATGTAAGAAATTACTGAATGAAAAGACTGATCATTTGCAACAAGCGATTAAGCAATTACTTGACGAAAGATATAGGGCAAGGGATATGATGCTATGTACTTATAAAAACTTGTACAGTCTGCACGAAAAGTGGCTTGAAAACATCGCCATTACAGAATATACAGGGAACTCAAAGATGTACAATCGGCCCATTGGAAATCTCAACTTTAATGCGACGATTCCACATTCAACAAACATTTTAGATATGACCACAGTGAATTTGAAGCTTGCTGAGAATATCAGCAGTTCGGTTGAAAAACAAGATATTAGTCATTTGAATAGCTTGCCCACTGCCACAGAAGGAGAGAAGTTTGCAGAAACTGTAAGTTATGTCTTCAATAAATATTTTTAAACATGACTCAATATTAATTTATTGTAAAATTATAATACATTAGGTTACTGCTTTAATTGACTATGAGGCTGACTAACTTAGTTCTCACCAATTCCTAGATTAGGTAAAATATAGTTAGATTTTCCATTTCGAAATTCTCAGTACTAACACGCATTTTAATCTTCTGTGAGCTTCATCAATAATACTGCCACTAATACAAGTACTAACTGCCAAAAAATGAATTATTGTAACATAACATCACGCCTTTTATCCCCGAAGGGGTAGGCAGAGGTGTTCACAGAAGTAACACCCACTTTTTTCTAATTATGTTATGAGTCCCATGTAATAGGGGGTGAGCCTATTGCTATATACCAGGCACAATTCCAGACTTCGTGCTACTACTGAGAATTTTAAGTACCCAGTAGTACTATGCCCGACCCGGGAATTTAATCGAAACGCTTTGCCCGGCAGTCGCACTTGCGACCACTCGGCCAAAGAGGCTGTACTGTAATCACTAAATAGGTTTTCCATATCTATAAATATTTATCTTCCCACAGGTAATGGCAACACCCTTAGACGTGAAAAAGGTGAGTGAGGAACCGGTGAATGCCCTCGTCCATCACGCTTACAGCAGCAGCGGTAACACGCCGCGACCAATCGCCTCCTGTGTACATTGTCACGGAAAAGTCCAACTGTTATAGATTGACCAGAATTAAGCTAGCATTAGGGATGATGAAAAGCCTATATTCATTTTTGGATGATGAAAAAATCATCAACAGCCTATAAATGCCCACTGCTGAGCATAGCCTCTTCTCACCCGGAGAAGGTTTGAGCATTAATGAAAAAATGATGATGATGATGATGAAGATGAAAAAATATTTGTTACGTATTTTTTATTTGCCTAAATGACTAAAAACCACTTAGATAAACCATACTCAAGTTTAAGAATAAAAATAGAAGCAGCATAATGCTAAAGCATGAGGTCATAAATATGGCACTTCGAATGCTGTGTTCTAAATCTTAAGATCTCTAAAAATATGTGTCAAATGTTTTTCATCAACCTTCTAAACATATAATAAAAAAAATTATATCATCCCTATGTTAACATGGATCGTTGACCAATCAACGGTCGACATAGCACAATATACTAGGTATATTTACTTATAAGAAACTCAACTTACTGGGTTGTTGAACACTAAGTTAAAATAACTCTTATCGTATAGGAAATAAAGGTGCAATTTAATTAAAATATGTATGATAAAGTGTTAGTGACTTATGACATGTATAGTATTAATGGCAATAATGTTTTTGCGGGTTGTGTTTGTGTAAGGGTTTACGCACTTATTTCATAAACTAACATATTCAATTTAATATAAATAGAAATATTATTTCAGTAAAATATTCATAGCCGAAATTGTAGGCAAGAATTTTTTTGACTTGGGTAATTAAAAAATCGAATTGATATTATTTGTCATGATATTAATTATCTATTTAAATAACTGTGCTCTGCCGAAACCATTTTTTATAATCAAATGTATACCTACCTAATGTAGGTACTTAACTATCAAATATGTATTAAAATGGATCATCCAACAAGTGATTCATGACTATGTTCAATGTTCACAGCGTCACGAATTGATGGAAATATTTAATTATATCCTAATAATATATACTTTGAAATAATAAATAGATTAATTATAATAATTCTGATTAAATAGAATAACAACTTTATATTAAGTCAATAAATATTAAAATTCTAAATATGTCCAAAACAAAAATAAAACGCTGGTAGGTGAGTAGGTCTGATGCGGGGTAACTAGATCCTGTATTTTACTTCTAATATAAACAAAAGCCGAACTTAGGTGACTAACAAACTGAGATAGGTCAGTGGCCAAAAGACATACTGACCTTAGAATGATATTGACCTTAAGGAAATTGAAGGATATAGCGTACTACAATATCATAGGTATATGTACCTGTAGTCTTATGAGACTAGTAGCTCAAAAAATATAAAGTTATAATTCCTAATATTAGTTTTGAGATAAAATAAGATATGTAAGGTTGTATCCAGGGCCGTCTAGACTATAATTTAGGAATGTTTTTTTTTATAACGTTACCCCACACTAGGATTTTCTCCTGTACCGTGGGTGCATTTACGAACATACAAGTTCATATACACATGACACCCAGACCCGAAAATACATTTGTGGATCGTATAAAGTGCTTTTTTTTTATTTGCTTCGTGCGGAAATTAAACTCGCTACCATGTTGCGGGGCAGCCGGTTGCCGCGCAACGTGCAGAGGGTGTGTGTCCGTCGTAGAAATTGTCAATCCTTCGGGGCCCTCGAAGAACGGGAGCCCTGGGCACGGGCCCCGAGTACCCTTATGACAAAGACGGTACTGGTACTGGTTGTATCAACATATGTATATCTTCTTGAAAGATGGTCTGTAACATGATCCTGTTCTGATACACGCCTTGGTGCAATCCCATTGTCTCTACCACCTTACCTAAAAATCGAATGCTTAGTAGTTCTTTCAAATGAACTGCAGTCAGTACCAATGTTAGGAGTATATTCCCATTTATGAGAATAACGGGAATACATCAAGGCATTGATTTTCAAAACGATTTAAATACAACTTACTGGACTACAGACTACCTTTTAAAAAATATTTATAAAGTAAACCTATGAATGTCTTCCAATAGATAAAAAAAGCAATAGTGTTTTGTTATTTGGTGTATAGTAAGAACCATGTGTCATTACAACGACACCATTGTCCTACAACTAGTCACTGAACTAATGTGGTGTCTAGATTGATTGGTTGGTGCAATGTAACGCAATTCTTCCTATTTTTTCATCTAGACTTCATTATTGGAGTGTAGTACTTACCTACCTTAAAACCGATAGTGGCGACCTCACTAAGCTGTGATGATATTGAAGTTACTAATGTTTATTATGCTATCGAAGTTCAGTATATTCAATTAATTTTGGTATTTAATTAAATTACTTTTAAAATATAGTTTCATTTGCACTGGTCTTCCTGTAGTCTCAATATTAAAATACCTAAACCTTACCGACCGGCGACTATGTAGGTTTTACACGGAAATGTCCAAAAATGGCTATTTAATTACCTACAATCCATATTTGGTTACATGTTTACAACAGGAAAATAAAGGAATGCCATTTCTGAATCCTACTGTTTTTATAAGTCTTATTTTTATTTGTATAAGTAGTCTAAGATTATTTTTATAAGTTTTTAAGGGAGTTGGTTAAATGTTTCTGTAATTCATTCCACGAAGCATATTTGTGTAAAAATGTACATAAGCAATCAATAAAACTATTTATTGTTACAGTAATGTTTTTATTTTTTAATTACAACAAACATTTTGTATGTAATGCTAAGTGTACGTTAGTATAAAAATAGTATTGTTTTGTTCGCTTATATCACAGGTTTACATTACTATTTTATTTTTACTTACACATACATACTTTTAACAAAGTGAGGACTTTTTGTAAAGAATTTCTTCTACAAAAGTCTATTTGAGGGTTTTCTAGGTGATCCTATCTCTCTATTAGGCGACTCTAAAGGAAAACAAAGGGCTTTACATACCATCACTGAAGCAAATGTAATGGTGAAGTGTGTCTCGTGTGTAAAACTTCCGCACTTTTAACACGTTTTATAAAAAAAAATACATTGTTGTTCTAATTTAAGAGGTTTGCATTCAACATTGAATCTTATCTTGATCGACATAAGACTCAAAGTCGTTTCTAAAGCGCGTTTAATTTAATTATTTATTTCTGTAATCCTTTGTTGCGGAACCGTAGCATTTCTGTACCAGTGTAGTTGTATGCTAGGTAGTCGCGGACTGGTATGTACTTGGCACCTCCGAACCAATCAATCATTGCGATTTGAGCGATCTTCAACTTAGCTACAAACCAGTTGTGATCTGAAAATTAAATAAAGATATCTAGTTATTACAATACTGCCACCATCAAACACTACAGTGGTACATCAACCTGGAGTAGGTAATATCAATCAAAGGAGTTTTAACTTAATTGTTGATTAGTTATAAAGTCGAAAATCCAATAGGTGATCGGTAGCTTCATGTTTTAGCGTCTGCACGTGCCCACAAATTTTTAATATCGAGTCCCATATATTGTTTACTTAAACTTTTTGAATGGACCTTTTATTGAGTCAGTGGATTTAAACATTCAATCGTTGGACCCGAAAAACAGATTTATAATAAACGAATTGGTATACCAAATGTTTGCTTATCGTTATAACTTATTTAAATATATTATTATATTACTAAATTCTATGTATATTTCATCTCAAGCTTGTAATGTTTATCTCCTTAAGTAAATAAACATACAGATAGTACTATTTGATATAAATAATAGATAGGTACATACCCGGGGGGAAGTCAGCCATAGCCGGATGTCTTTCAAACAACGCTGCCTTTGCGAACTCATACTCTGGAGTGCGCTCCTTAATCTACAATAGACAATAACAGTGCCATTTATAGGATAATTTTATAGTAGACTAGCTGTTGCCCGGGACTTCGTCCGCGTAGAATTTTAGAATATAATTCTAGAATTATTTCAATTTTCCAAAATGAAAGTAGCTTAAGTTACTCTTTAGTACCTCAGATACCTGCCAATAGAAGGCTTGCAAGATCGGAGCGATTTTGCTACAGAGATTAGCCAGTACAAGCAGAAAGACAAAAATTGTAAAAAGAAATTATTTTGGTATGTGTATTGTTTTATATGCATGTAGTAAAAAGCGGTTATTTTAATATTACACATAGACACTCCAATTTTATGTATCTGTAAAGATATTTATGTGTGTGTATGTATAATGCTCAGTAATGCATGCATTCATATTGTTAAGATAACGGAGCACTCTAAATGAGAGCTTATCTTATGTTAAATATCGATTTGTTAGTAAACAGATACGTGTTTAATGCGTTCTCTTTTATGGTACTCGTCCAATATTAAGCGATATTCTGATATATACAAAGTGTAGTTTTGAAACCGTGACATTTCTCGGGGGCATGTCACAGAAGTCGTAAAGGTTCAATGTAAGAGACAATTTCGGGCCAATAGTTAAAAATACGGCTATAATAAATCGTTTAAGTTCGAAAGTATTTCAGAATAAGCGACAGCAATGTTTCTTATTGGAGTTTTATGGAATTAAGAATAATATCAATTACGTGTTTGAGTTTGTGTGTGTTAAGTCGCGTTATAAAGCTAGTTACAAGACGGCGGCGTGTAGTTCGCAGTTACGGATTTCCGTAATAAACAGAAAAATGAAATATTTTTACCTAACATTTTTTTATTGATTCGGACTCAGAATCGATTGCTTAGTTATCTCCTAGAAAATGACGCGGCTTTATATATATGTTGTTCCTACTTTTCTAGATAAAAGATAATAATATGTTTGTCCCGAATTTGTTTATTCCCGATACCTACTTATTTACTAAACCATGGAAATTGCGTTCTTCCTAACTTAGCTGCATTAATTAAGATAACCAGGAACAATGGCAGCACATTTTTGTTGTGATGCAATTCTATAGATTATGCATAATTTTCTAAGCTCAATGTAATAGGGATTATTACCTTCTTCATCTTTCCAGACAGCATCAACCTGGTGCACCTTGGGTCTTCAGGGTCAATTTTCTTATTTTCGCAGTACCTCGTCTCTTCCAGGGACACGAGGACGGTAGCACGACTGTTTTTCTGTTGATAACAATATGGTTTTAATTGGCTTTATTACGAGTAGGAGGTAAATAGCGAATTTGGTATTTAAAGGACCGATAAGATTAAGTCAATGAGGATATTTTAGAATTTATTTGTTTGTAGTGCGGAAACGGCAAAGTTAATTATTATTATTATTATTTAAAATACATTAGATAAGTACCTACAGCCTAAAGTAGGTACTTTAGGATTCCATCATCATTAGATTTTCAACTTTGTTCTTTTTAAATAAAGTCGAAATCTTCAAAGAAAAATGTTGACAGATTGGAGTAGTTTGCTGGCCATAGTACATAAGTAGCGAAGTACGTACCTACATAAAAAATACTATACAGGGTTGTAAATAGAACGCTCCCAAAACGCTGACAATAGGAAATATTAATCGTTTTTGTTTTCGCGTTATTCATAAAACATCAGTCTTGAACAGTTGATTACAACTATTATTACATTAAAAAACCATTTAATTCCTTACATTTATGAAAATAAAACTTGTTCTCTCCCATCAGGTGTCGGCGTTTTTCGGGAGCGTCCTTTTTACACCCAGTATAGGAACATAGAATAAAACTTACCGATAAATCGCGAGCACTGAAGTCCAATGGTGACATGTAGAAGTATGGCACTCCTGTCGAGTTAGCAAGGGATCCATCCACTATAGACTTGACGTTGGAGAAAGGAAATCCTTCAATAGCCGGCAAGATTGATATCGTAGCTAGAGAGGCCCAGTCTGCAAAAAAATCGTAACTTTTTTATGAATAGGTAGGAATGTTTTACCTCACTAACATAATACCTCTAATATGCATAGTAAATACTTAGAGGTATTTTAATAAATAAATCGTTTTAATTTAAAATTTCGTGTAGACAGCTGTGCATTTACGCATTCCAAAAAATCGTACCTAATTTGATGACGTCCTTTCATATGGCTAAAACAAATCATTATCGATATGGCATAGTTTTAGAACGACCTCAATTGTTTAAACTATCCTATCAACCCGTCGAATGCGTGAACTATGGGCACCAAAACCGCTAGGTAAATATATATATACGTAGCTTTAAACTCTATAACTCTAGGTAAAGTTTTAAACATCTTATAAGTAGATGACGCTCTGTCTAGCAGGAACTAGTTAGTTTCCGCTTAAAAAGCGGCATAAGTTAATACTTATGCCGCTTTTTAACTTAATAGTTATATAGTTACATACGTAGGTAGATAATGTAGGTACCTAGGTATATAATATACCTACAATACATAGCAACATCATGGTAAAAATGCTTAGAATAGGTACATTTTCAACACAATAAGAGAAATATTATTATTGATTATGCATACTTAAATAAGTAAATATTAACCTTGTAAATGCTTACGTGCAGTTTGTCTCGTTGGTTATTTACACCATACCTACCTACATTCCTACATGTAATGTACCTACTTATGTGAGAATTTAATATAGAAATTTTTCCTCAATATAATAATTATAATAAGTAACTATTATGTAGGTACTATCGCGTATATCTAACTATAGGTAAAAAATACCCTTAATTTAGATCATGTAGGATAAACGAAAAACTTGAGATAGAGGCCTATGTTCAGCAGATGATGTCCGCACTGTATGCTGTACATATGCATAGATGTGCACTGTGGCTAATGAAAGTAGGTAAATTAAATTAATCCTTTATTTAATCAAGCAAGAACTGCGGGGTTATTATGAAGTCGCTAAAGTCAGAATGGTTCCATTAAGGGAAAGAAACAGAGCTATACAACTATACAAGTCGTCTAGCGAGATCTCGTTCCCTCAGCGGAACCACTCTGGCTCTAAGACGTCATAATAACCCCGCTTGGTAGTAATAACTGGTAATAACTATTGCTTGTTTGACAGGTGATCTCTTTTACACAGTGCCTACATAAGTACATGGGGCTGATGTAAATACTTGTTGTGAATAATAATGTATGACGACAAAATTATGTTAATGCATGCCTATTAATTTCGTAAACAGTTTTAGACATATTCGCTAAAAACAAATTGTAAAGTTACGGCGTCAACACGCTTTGAAGACAATTAGGTTTGTCTGTGCCTATCCATTAATATTTTTGAGTCAATTAATTGCCTTTATTCTTTACAACATAATGACACGTTTTTAATCCCCGAAGAGTTTGACAGAGTTATCTACATTTGCGATGTAACGTCCTCTTTTCACCACGGATTCGAACCCGCCATCTCTTAGGTACTTGCGGCCATTCAACATGTTATACCATCTTGCCGCATACCTACTTAAGTAATATAATGAATCTTACCTGCATTGTGCAAGACGTATCGAGCCATTGGAATCAACTTGGTGTGGTCAGGGGGGTCCTGCCTGTAGCTGGATGTCGTCATCTCATTGGCATTTTCCCGCCAATGATTTTCTCGTCGCTCATGTTTCCATTTGCACTCCACGAGGGAATTACAAAAACACAAACACGCTACCAAAACAAACCCCCACTTCATTTTGCAGTCCTAAAATAAAATTAATAGGTTTGTACAGAAAAACGTAAAAAGAAACTAAAATTTAGTACAAAATTATTTGCCTATAGAAAGTAAATTCAAATGTATCCACGACTGTATGATTTGAATACAGTGCCAAAAACACAAGTCACGGGTAACGAATGTTTATTTATAACCAAGTAGGCGGAAAATGCGCAAATATAAAGTGATCACGTACGTTATAAGTTGACACGTTCGTTTTCGTCGCCGGTCCGCGACTGAATGAGTGGGCAACAAAACATACACAATAATATAACTCAGACTTAAAACTTTAGTTACTTAACAAAATGATAAGTTGTCCGAACAAATAACTACTGATTTTTGGTAGCGTCTACTGCGCTATAAAAGCAATAAAAGTTGGCGTACCTTAATCTAAACCAAAATATTGAAAAGTTTAATGCCTTTTAAAGATATTCAAACGAAACAGAGACTGAAAGTCATTCCGACCCGACGATCCGAGACGTGTTGTCTAACCAACAAAATGATTCAGCAACCAGGTGTTTGACATTTCCGATGCTCGTTATAGGCCAAGAGATGGGGACGCGACGACTACTCGACCGACAGCTAACGATATCAGATGCAGTTTAAGTATTTATTGTTCTACTTTTATATGCGTTTACGTCAATTCATTTTAGTACTCATAAGGAATAAATTAACGTAAATAAATGTTTTATCTCCATAAAATGTTCTATAAATGAGTAGGTACGGTAAAACGGGGTGAATAGAATTCCAGGGATGAATAGATAGGTACAGAAGAGGGGTGAATAAATGTTGGGAAAATATCTTAACATTTATTTACGGTAGTACAAAAATCGAAATCAAACATCAAAATAAGCTATTAAGTTTAATGCCACGATCTCGCACATAACAGGATTGAGAAGCAATTTGCTTTTTATTTAAATGTACCAATTTGTATCTTGTATTAATTTGCCACTGCACTATTGTAAAGATTAAGATATTATATGGAATGTAAATAAAGAACACCTACCCAATGAGAACTGTTCGTCAAGGAGAATGTAGAATGAATGGCTTAGTATACGAGCAACAAGCACGCTTCATCATAATCAACAAATAATTGTATGCGATAAAAACATCACGTACGCGATAACACCGATAGATAGATTGAACCTACGTAAATTAGCACAACACTCCTTTTTTTCTATTAACTGATTTATTGAATGAGACTTACAAGGTTAAGATAACGATATAGGTAATAGAGGAAAAGAAACTCGAATTTTATTTTATACAATAATTTTATTTAATTCACTTTAACAGTACAAAATATCTGTTAATAGTCATTTCTCCATTAAGAATACAAAGGTTCTTGCAAGTAAGCAGATACTTGATGTCGGCATTTTCAGAGAAGGTTACCCACGTCGGAAATGACTAACGAATATAATACAATCAGGACCTGTTTCAAAATTACTCATTAAGTTTCTGTTGAAGAACATATGTTATGGAAAATACATTAGATTTTATCTAGCTGTCAGTCTAAAGGGGAACTTAACTAAAAATTGTGAAACAGGGTGTTAATATTATTTTCTTAACAAGTATAACGTTTTATTAACGCTGTTGTGTACTCTTGGCGATTTGTTCCTTCAACATGAGAATACTGGCGCGCTGCTCAGGCGGTAGCAATGCAATTTGCTCGTCGGAAAGTTGCAACACTTGCATGATGAGAGCAGCCTGCGAATTACAAACGGGTATATTCAATAATTATAACGATTTATCGTCAAAATATAAATTAAAAAACGGATATACGTAGTAAACATACTTTTTCTTGATCGGAAGCACCAGAAGGTATTCCCTGTATTGTTCTAGCCTGCGCAGCGCTCGGCATTCCCGGGGGCATTTGTTCTGCGAACAAATAACATTTATAACATTAAAATATTTTTATTACTTTAGTAGTAGTAGTAGTAGATATAGGTTTCATTTTATGTTAAGAAAAGAGACAAATGCCTTACCTAACTTAAGGGAAGGTATTTGTCTCTCTCTTTTGGTATACAGTACGTACATGGACTGTATACCAATTTATAATACCTAATCGAGATAGTAAGTATATTGATAGCATGCTTTATCTAGTACATACGTACTACAGACATGTATAACCTCACGCCTGTCTACTTATGACTATGACTATGGACTGACTATGGGACGCCAATTGCTACGATTCTTACATATTCTTACGAAGCGCTTCGCATCAAGCTTCCTTGTGAGTACTGCTAAGGAGAGGAATTCTTTGCCAGAGTCTGTATTTCCTGAAGGGTATAATACCTGGGAGTTTTCAAGACCCGAGTAAATAGGTTGCTTATGGGACGACGTGCTCCATCGTAGACCGCATCATCGCTTACCCCCAGGCGAGATAGTGGTCCAACGTCGGCCCATCGAATATTTATAAAAAACCTAGTATCTAGTGTTCATCATCAAAGCTATAATAAAAAAAGTAAACAAACCATTCATAATAAATAACAAGACAATCAGTTTTTTGAATATTTATCTTGGTAGGTATCAAAACTATTTTGCGACGGTAAATGACTGGAGTCTATCCGGTTTTGTCATCAGTACCTACCTAACGAAAATGACGCATTTTATCTCAAATTGAACTCTGTTACATAAATGATAAAAATGTTTTACTTATAGCTCACCTATGGACTCCACATTTGACCCTTGCAGTTTAAAAGAAAAATAAATTGATATAAGTTTGACAGTACCGGCTTGTTAACAATACGGTTTAGATTATGCAATAAAATCAAATGTTTGATGGTCATTCACGTAGATAGAGTAATGACAAACGAAATTCTGTTTGATTTATTATGTCTACATCTACATTATGAAATGTGGTACGTTTCTAATCCTACTAGTCCCACTACGTACAAATGCGCTATGTGAGATGTATTTGGATGTTTCAAGCGTGTCTTTACATCGTTCTCACATAATTATATGTGCAATATTGGATCATGTATCAGATAGATTGAAAAACATATTTTTTTTCAAGTATTTTTTACAATACAAAGTAGTAGTAGAGTAACGAATGGAGTTTCTTGCTCGTTCTTCTACATTCAAATCTACATTTTGGAACGAGTACCTAGCTTCACTGACGGACAGACTGATAGACTATTATTTATTTTGTATTTGTTGACATTTCTCTGCCTCGTTGGCCGAGTGGTCGCGAGTGCGACTGCCGGGCAAGGGGTCTCGGGTTCGATTCCCGGGTCGGGCAAAGTATTACTGTAAATTCTCAGTAGTAGCACGGAGTCTGGAAATGTGCCCGGTATATGGCAATAGGCTCACCCCCTATTACATGGGACTCATAACATAAATAGTGAAAAGTGGGTGTTACTTCTGTGTGCACCTCTGCCTACCCCTTCGGGGATAAAAGGCGTGATGTTATGTTGTTGACATTTCAAACGTACTAAATTATAGTTTAATTGAAATAAATACTTTAACACTTTGACTTTAGTACAAAATTTACAGAAATAGATTATAGTCTGTAATAACACATGGGCATGGGTTAATTTCCATTCCGGGAATGTGGATGAAATTGCTGGTGGAAGCCTAAAAACACGAAGAAGTCTTCAGTAATTTGCGGAAGAGTGTCGGAGTAGTGAAACTTTGGATGAATGACGTAAAAGAGAACCACAAAAACATTTGTTTAGGAATCCAGCTTCGTACTTTCAGCGCAAATACATCTGATTGGCAGGCTGGCAGAGTTACCCGAACCGGCATGTAATCAAAATGGTTTACATTTTATTAGGTGTTGCCAAATCAATTAAAAGTATAATTAACGAAGTAATTATTTTCTGTTATTTTTATTTGTGGAAGAAATATATCAATCTGTCATCAATGTCGGTTTTTTAGGAGCAGACTGATTGAGGACATTTAAAAAAGGTACAAATATTTAGCCGAGCGTAAATTACTGTCACGATCCATCTTCTAATGCATGCATTTTATTGTTTACTAGGTAGTTAAATCTCCTGGCTTTGCATCAGTGCATTTGTACGATCAATTTTATATACAAAATGTTAATACACATTTTCCTAAAGTTCGAGAAGCGTCAAAAAGCTACCAGCAGATGCGAGATAAGTTGAACACATAGCAATTGATTTGATAATACAATTACAAATATCAACTGCAGCAGATAATATTACTTCGGCCGTAACTCGTAGTCCTTCGGTCATATTAATCTAATATTACAAATGTGATTATTTATGAGGGTGTATGCAGGTGAGATTTTATAGTCCTTTCATAAAAATCTGCTGAATGAATCTTAATGAAGATTATAGTTTCGACCATATAGGCTCCATACTTTTTACTAACCCATTTAATGCCTCCGTTTGCAAAATAACCAAGAAATACATACGTTGTTGAATCTTCTGTTGAGTGCGCGGGTCGTTGGATCGTACGCGCGGGTCCGAGTTGAAGGATTGAGTCTGCATGCTCGCTAACCGCGGGTCGCGAGGGAAGCCACTGTTGCAAACAAACTGTATTAAAATCTATACAATAGGCATACAAAAATAATTAAACCTGAAATAACGGTGTTGAATTATTTATTGCCCTGTGTCCAAAATTAATAGGGCAATAAAAACAATAGTCACTGATGTGTACTGTAAAAGTATTTTTATTCCTTTCCCGTCGAGGTCGGCGTCAGTGTAAATCTTATACTTGGTTAAAAACAATAAAATTAAGTAAAATGTAAATTCGCAAGCGCAACAACGCGTGAACAGTATAGGTTTAAACAACAGGTAATAAGCTAGGTATACAAATACAAATTATAACAAGACTAACGCTGAGATACTCAAACGCCACTCAGTTTCGCGGTTAAGGATAGTTCTGTGTCTACATTTTTTTTTTCGTAAAATGACAGAGATTGTGCGATATTTAAGTAAGTACCACTTAAATTTGAGTAGCCTTTCAGTATCCGGGCGTAAGTAAGACACACCACAAACTATCACTTACATTGGCTCTGGTGGTTTTTCCACTGGTAGGGGAGCATTACTTGGCAGAAAAGTCAACAATTACTTACTAAACAATACCGACAATTGACATAGTTACATACATAGAAATTCACTTTTAGCATAAGTAAAAAATAGGTTACTTTATAAAAATGTGTAAGATTGGACACACATTAATCTTTATTATTTATATTTCATGTCAGATCTTATATTTAAAATACATTAATGCTTTCATCAAAAAATAAATCAATGATTAACATTTTGACTTCATTTCAATATTAAAATAATATATTTTACTTAGCACTTAGCTGTTTTCTGTACCTACTAATTTATGAAAGCAATTTAATAAATATATTTTCAGCTGTACCAAATATAATCTGAAAGGTTACTTTACTACAATACAAAGCTACAATTTATCTCAATATCACTAAAATATTTTTATATTAGAGTATAGAAGCATTTCCTTTGCTCAAAATTCCAAACATATGAAACCGCAGATGCAGACAGGAAGAAAGTATAGTTATGTGTCTATTATACATATATGAATGTTTGTATACATACGTATCCTGTCCATGATGTTGAGGTGGAGGCACAGGGTGCGGAGCGGGCACTGGAGGCAGGCTGCGCATGTCCTGGTCCAGTAGCGGAGGCGGACCACTCGGCCCACGACCGCGTAGGTCCACGTCACCCATCGCTGGACGAGCTGTGATAAATCGACAACAATATAAACATATTTTTATGCCCTTGGATCGTCTAATGGTAAGCAATCAGCGCCACCCACCGAAACTATGCCTAAAAATTTAAATCTTGGCACATTTCCTCAATGCAATTATTGGTTAGGTTTTTCTCTATTATTTGAAACTTAGTATTTTGTTGTGGCGAAACGCAACAAACACCTATGGTTAAATGCCTTAAGTAAAAAAAATAGTAGCATATGTATATCATATAGATCAACATCATGATCATATCAGCTAGCCACAAGGCGTCCTACTGAACATACGCATAATTATAACTTCCAGATTGGTCGATTGCATGTCACCAGCAATGACCATATCACGTTTTTAAGTAATAAATAACTTTATTAAAATAACACTCACGCGCATACTGAGCTGGTGGAGGCACAGGCGCCGCGAGCATCGGCGGCATTTGCGGTGGTTGTTGTTGATCTAAGAAAAATAAATAAAAATAAATGGTTTAGCCTGTCTCATATGAACAAAGGCGTGAACGTTAATGTATTACCTTACTTTATACAAAAAAAACCAAAAACTAATAACAAACAAAAAGTCAATACTAAAAAGCAAAAAATAACTATTATTAGTACTGATAGGTTACCCACCCACTGATAGGTAAGAAGTCGGTGCCATAAGTTCCATACAAAATTATTCATTAAAACCTTAATAGGTACCTAATTCACAATTTTGTGGGCATTAAGTTATATCATTATAATATGAGCTTATGGCACCGACTTCTAACCTATCAGTGGGTGGGTAACCTATCAGTACTAATAATAGTTATTTTTTGCTTTTTAGTATTGACTTTTTGTTTGTTATTAGTTTTTGGTTTTTTGAAGTCGGTTTTTTAAGCGCAGTTTTTATTTTATTATTTTATCATTTTTAGTGTAAAGCTACATAATTATACCCGTTTTGTTACTTATAATCTACATAGGTGCAAAGTTCTAATCAATACAAATTATACAATCCCGAACACAAGGTAGTTACTGTTTACCGTTAAGGAGTTCCCTTAACAATTACACTTCTTCATCATCAGACCCTTAATGACAGCTCCACTCTATCTAGGTGTAAAGTCCTCATCAATACAAATTAATCAAGCCCAAACACAAGGTAGTTACTGTATACCGTTAAGGAGTTGCTTTAACAATTACACTTCTTCATCATCAGATCCTTAATGACAGCCCTACTCTATTTAGGTGTAAAGTCCTCATCAATCCAAATTAATCGAGCCCAAACTCAAGGTAGTTAATATAAACCTCTGAGGAGTTCCCTCGACTGCTTGTCGGCTCCATCATCAGGTCAACTCCAGACCCTTATCAAATTGTAGTGTTTCAAAATCCTAATTGAAAAACATAATAGACGCATTACTTGCCCATAGAATTTTCGAAAGTTCCCCTCGGTTTACCTAGGATCCCATCATCAGATCCTGACCTCATGGAAATGGGCCCATTTCGGGAGTATACCCTTTCAAACAAAACAAGAATTTTGGAAATCGGTTCAAAAATGGCGGAGTACTGCGCGAAAAAAAAAAAAAAAAAAAAAAAACAATCAGCCGAACATAGTACCTCCTCCTTTTTTTGAAGTCGGTAATTAATTACATCACATAGAAAATAATCTATTTTTGACTAGCGACCCGCCCCGGCTTCGCACGGGTGCAATATGCATGTATTATACATATAAGCTATCCTTAAGAATCAATCAATCTATTAAAAGACACCGTATCAAAATCCATTGCGTAGTTTTAAAGATCTAAGCATACGTAGGGACAGACAGACGGTGGATAGCGTAGTGATGATTGACCAAGTTATTTGTAAATAATAATGCAGGTACTTACTCTGTGGTGGATTGTTTTGCATGTAGTGGTTTGAAGGTGGTTTGTCGCCTGGCTGAAGTGGTGGCGGCACTGGGTTGCTTGGGTGTAACATGCTCTACAAAAATCATTAAAAATGTTTTAATCTTTTACTATAACAATTTTCCTCCATTTTGTTTTAAAGAATCAATAAAGTAATTGTTCTGAAAAGAGAAAAATAAAAGTTTAACTATCTATTGGCATATCTACTTACAACTGCGGTAGCTGGATCAACAATCCTCATGATAACTTGAGCTTGCAGCAATGCATAGGCCAACTGTGGATTTTGTAACATCATGTTTCTTGCTTCATTGGGATTATTCTGTAAAATCAATATTTTGTTTGAATTAGAATGATATCTATACATATAATAAAATCGTAGAAAAGTCAAAATTGTACACTGAATATATTTTTAAAAGAATACTTGGAATGTTATCTGCTATCGATACCGAAGCCAAAAATATGATTTTTGGATTTTTTGTCTGTTTGTCTGTATGTATGTTGATTGGACCGGGATAATCGCAAAAAGTACTGCATGAATTTATTTCATGCATGAATATTACTAACAAGTCAGGTCAACATATAGGTTAAATATCACACTATCGCCTACGGGACTGAATCAATTCTGACGACATTCGTTACCGTAGAATATCCCTTGATAAAAACTAATTCAAAAGCCTAAATTCTGCCAGAAGCCATTATTCTACGCGGACGAAGTCGCGGGCAACAGCTAGTCTATCATATATCATGAATGTGATCATGTTATCTTTTTGTTGTACAGCTTTTATTTAGAAAACTGTAATAATTTTATCATTTTATAAGTCATGGTGGCCAATAGGTTAAGATGCTTGCCTCTCGTACATGAGGGTTCAAAACCTGAAGTACCAATGTAACTTTTTCTGAATTATATGTACATTTTAAGAGTATTTAGCCACCACTGACAGACAGTGAAGGAAAACATAGTGAGGAACCCTGGAGTTATTAAACAATTTCGAAAAGTTAAATATTATAAGTTTGATATCGCCAATCTGCCTTGAGCAATTGTGGTGATTAATGGTCTTTCCTCCTCCTTGTGACAAGAGGCCTTTGCTCTGCAGTGGGCACTTATAGGGTGACGACAATGATCATATTATAGTTAGAATTTGTAGTAAATAAAATGTAAACTATTATTTCATTCATAAGTCAATTAACAGATTAACAGCTGCCTAGTCACCAGTGGCCTATGTTAGCGGAGGATTTGCTTTCAACAGTTTTCTGTTGGTAGTCAAAGACTTAACAAACTTTTTCTTAAGACTATTGGAGTCATTCAAGCCACATGGGCAGACGATTTTGTGACAATGTTACAGCTACATCCTAAAGAGGTAAGTACAAGTAGTATGTCAACACTCACTTTCCCCAATCATATTAGAAACTACCATTAAAGTATATTTTACCTGAATACAAAGCTTCATTTGCTTCATAAGTTCAAACATTTGTTCAGGCGGAAGAGTGGCCACGGCTTTGCTGATAGCTTCTGGAGCTTTCTCAGGGTCACAAGGTTCTCCATAGGGATTTTCAACCTGAAAAATATTTACATAACTCATATTTAGAAGAGGATCTATTCATTATAGAATAAGTAAGGAGATGATAATATATAATAAAGATTATGAGACATACTAAATTAACTAAGAAATGAGTCCTCTGTGCTCATGGGGAAGAGTCACTCTGTGACTTGAAACTAACTTGAGCTTTTCTTAATATAATAATTACTTAATTATCCATACTTCTGGAGATGTATCGTTTACTGAACTAAGATATAATTTAAAGACTTAAAATAGGTGTTTAGCCTGCTTAGTTATATTTTTATGACTCTTATAAACATACTGTCTGTTTAATAATGACTGTAATTTTTCTATGTTTAATAAAGAAATTATAAACAAAAATTGAACTGTAGTTTTCTTGTACTGAAGATTATATTTTCAATAGAACATAAATAGGTACTTACTTGAGGCCCTTGCATCAATGCTTGCATTTCCATCCTAGACTTTTCAGTACAAGCATTGTCAACACGAAGAGATCGCCCACCAATCTCATACCCGTTAAGATTTCGCATAGCACTGAGTGCAGTTTCCTGATCCTTATATTCACAAAATCCGTATCCTTTTGGTTTACCGGTTTCTCTATCAAATACCAACTTGAATGAAAGCACAGGACCGACTTCACTAAATATATCTTTCAGCTTCTCCTCTGTAGCTTCGTAAGGTATGTTACCGACTGAAATATTATACATTTGATTCATTAATACATTATTTACTCAAATAATGCTGATCATTTTTAACAAATCACAACTTACCGAAAACAGATCGCATGGATTTATCCATGATGCTTTGTTCTTCCTTTTCCTTATTTTTATCCATGGTTGATGGGTGTACTTTGTAGGACTGATTACACAGAAATAAACACAGAAAGTGAGAGAAATAAGAAACAATAAAAATAACCTATTCTTCTAAATATCTGTTGACAAGTCTATATGTACTACCTATTTTATGACAGTAACGACAGCAACAACAAATCAAATCAAACCAAAAACTATGGCAAAGCATTTAGCATAGACAAAAAAAGAATCAACCAAAGAGACGTAAAATCGATTGCTCGATTCTTTTTATGCGAAACACTTTTAATGTTAAAGGTGTTTAATCACAAGTAACATCTTGTCTTAAGTTCCAATTACATATCTCAATTTTGTAACACATTGAATAGTTTGAATTTAATTAATCGATGTAATTGATCTTAATAAATTAAATCGAGTAATATTGTCACTTGTCATTCCTGCTTGAAAAGAAATCTGTTGGACTGAATCGAATTCCATTCCATTCCATTTTCGTTCGCTTGACTTGAGTCTGTTTTTGTACTAAAAATCATTAAAATTGTGCACATTGCGTTATTTTGTGGAAATATTAGCTTTTGATCAAGTTTACAGTGTGTTATTTGCAACAAGTGCTATTTAAGTATTTATATTCCTGTGTAATCGCGGATAAGTGCAGGAAGTCGTTCATCTGACTGACTGAAATAGGGTATTGATTTGTGTCTTATTACGATGAGATGACAAAACCATGTCAAGTGTATTTTAGTAAATAATACTGAGAAGCTCAGATTTTCAAAAAGCTACTATCTGTTCTTGCAATAGAACGGAATGAATCTCGATAATTCGTCGAGAGAAAATTCTGAAGCATTGGATTCTGTTGGTACCGTGAGCCCGAGAGATAAATATCAAAGTATGAGAGAAAAGAAGTTATCCACAGCGTCACTGACAAACGCTGAAGGAGCACGTCCTAAAGTCGTGACCGTCAAGCATCCCGAGTCTAACAAACCTAAACCCACTGCCAAGAAGAATAAACCCATCCAGGCTGATCTAGATATAATCAAAGAATTCCAAAGATGTCGTGATGAAGGACTCAAACGGTTGGATTTGAGCAAATCTTCCATAACATGCCTCCCTCCGAATGTACGCGATCTAACTCACTTAGTGGAGTTTTATTTGTATGGAAATAAGCTGGCATTACTTCCTGCAGAGTTTGGCTGCTTGGTGAACTTGCAAACATTAGCATTGAATGAAAATTCTTTAACTAGTTTACCTCAATCCCTTGCCAACTTGAAGAGTTTAAAAGTCTTAGACTTGCGACACAACAAGCTCAATGACATCCCAGAAGTGGTGTACAAACTCACATCATTGACTACATTATTTTTAAGATTCAATAGAATCAGAGTTGTGGGCAATGGAATAGCTAACCTGACTAATTTGACAATGTTAAGTTTAAGGGAGAATAAAATTAAAGAACTATCCTCTGGCATTGGCAAACTGGTGAACTTGGTAACATTTGATGTTTCACACAATCATTTAGAGCATTTGCCACAAGAAATTGGTAATTGTGTTAATTTATCAACACTAGACCTTCAACACAATGAGCTCCTAGATATACCAGAGACTATTGGCAACCTTCAATCAATAACTCGTCTTGGCCTGAGGTACAATAGACTGACTGCTATTCCAGCTACACTCAGTAACTGTAAACACATGGATGAATTTAATGTTGAAGGTAACTCTATATCCCAACTGCCCGATGGTCTTTTAGCCAGCCTAAATGAACTGACTAGCATCACACTTTCTCGCAACTCATTTGGGAGCTACCCATCTGGAGGACCAGCTCAGTTTACTAATGTTGTCTCTATTAATCTGGAACACAATCAAATTGATAAGATTCCTTATGGGATATTTTCAAGAGCTAAAAATGTAACAAAGTTGAATATGAAAGAAAATTTACTTACATCCCTTCCTTTGGATATAGGAACATGGGTAAATATGGTGGAACTCAATTTGGGTACCAATCAGCTGGCCAAATTACCTGATGATATTCAATGCTTGCAAAATTTGGAAGTGTTAATTTTATCTAACAATTGCTTGAAGCGGATACCACCCAGTATTGGAAGCCTAAGGAAACTGAGAGTTCTTGACCTTGAAGAAAATAAGTTAGAGGTTTTGCCAAATGAAATTGGATTCTTGCATGACTTACAGAAACTGATAGTGCAATCTAATCAGCTGACATCTCTGCCTCGCTCTATTGGTCATTTGACTAATCTAACATACCTCAGTGTTGGTGAAAACAACCTACAATATCTACCTGAGGAAATTGGAACATTGGAGAATTTAGAATCCTTGTACTTGAATGATAACCCCAACCTATGCAATCTTCCATTTGAGTTGGCCCTGTGTGTCAGCTTACAAATTATGAGCATTGAAAATTGCCCATTGACAGCAATTCCCCCTGAAGTAGTATCTTCAGGACCATCACTGGTAATCCAATACTTAAAGTCTCAAGGTCCATATAGAGCTATGTGATATCAGGAAGACGATTTTTTACCAGCCGGCGAAGGCTAGTAAATTTTGTAGACGCTTGATATGGCAAGCTTTCCAGAAAATGTATACTCAAAATTTTATGTTGTGAAATAAAACAAAAATATACCCAATGTATGTTACAAGTAAAACTTAAATATAAGGCATTTTCTTATTGTGGATTACAATATTTTATGATGATTATGTCTTAAATTTGTTTTAAAATATCTTTTGTGTCCAGTTTGATAGATATATAAATCCCAATATTTAATGTTTTAATTATATAGATGTTTAAGATTTAAGCAATTGTTTTATTGGTATCACAAAAATTATAAAAACACAAAAACAAACTGATTAGTGTTAGTAGGTAAAAGTATATTGTATAATGCTGTATATAAAATGCACAATAATAATATCCATGTTTTCCAGTCCATCAAAGGATTTTTTAAATAAATAGTGTATAATGTTCTTTCAATAACAAATGTCAAAGAAGCTTCTAATTTCTATTGTTATATTGTATTTTGATGATTCAGATATGGAAGCATTGTGCAACCTATTGAGCTTAGTGTTATAAGATACCAGTTATGTATGTAATAGGTAAAAATGGTTGAAAAGCACTTTCAAAGAAATTGTTTGTATCATGAGATGAAATCAAGTAGCTAGCAGATGCCTATTTATTCAATCATATTGACAGAAAAAAGTCTTGTTTCTATTCAAATGAATTAATATTGGTAATCAGTATTTTATGTGTAATCTAGGTTTGGTGTTTTATAGACAAGTTAAATGTGTTCTTTACTAGTTTTGGTTATATCTATATTTGATAGAGATTGTAATCATGGAAGATCTCATAATAGCATTATTACCTACTGAAACTGTGACACACTGTTGTTAATTTTAAGGATGTTATTAATATGTCATGACTAATTTTACAACATTGATTTCCTTGTGGGTCTAATGGTTGCTACCTGCAAGTAGCAACTGTTGAGCATCTGAGTGTGGAGCTAGTTTGAGATTTGCAAATGATTACCTACTAGAACAGTTTTTTAAAACTCTGAAATAGGTTGCAAAACATTAAACAAGAGTAATAGATTATTTGATGGATAAAAATATTAAAACTATTTAAAAAAAATACTGTACTTCTCATTCTAGCTCGTCAGGTAAAAATAGACCTAATGTCATATTATATTACTATAGGTTTCCTATCAGTTGCATTTAATATTTTTTGTATTAATAAGTGTATGTAATTTAGTATCTAGATACTATTTGTATTCTTTCAGGCTTTACTCATATACAGAATTTGTTTAATTAATTAAGTATGTAATATTTTTCGATGTTCTAGTGTGCGTACATAATTCTGTTTATAACAATATGCGGATTTTTCCTGTGTGACATCTTTACAATTTTTATAATCCTAGTACTAAATGAGAATTGATGTTAATATTTTATACGATAAAACATAGTTATCTAGTCACAGTTAAATTGATTTCTTTAACATAATTTCATGTATTTGATGTAATCCATGACATACTTTACAGTATACTAATCCTATATCAATGTAATTCTTGAAGAGATTGCTGTTTTTGCAACTTGTGCTAAGCGCTCTGGTAAAACCTATCCTAATTTTTAATGTTGATCCGTGTGTAGGTATTCGTTTATAATCAATGTTTCAGTGACATGTAAACGTGTTATATGAAATAAATAAATTATATAGTAATCGGAATATTTTTTGATAATCCCTAAACATGACTTACAATATAACAAGATGCTATCAGTGTAATTATTCTGTATGATAGTAGATACTGATAGCACCGAACAAGATACTTAATAAGTAGGTACCTAATTCAGTCATAATTATGATCGAAAGTGAGCCTGCTAATAATTCGTTTATAAACTACGTACGTAATTATACCGACTTCAAATCCCTCTTTTTAAGTCAAATAGTAAGTAGGTATACTAAAACCTTCTCTTAAGTGTAACAAAAACTATTCTAAAAATTGCTTCAAAATTGGTTCAGCCTATCACGATATAATAGCGCACAAATATACATACAAGTCGGTCTACCATTTTTTTTGAAGTCTGTTAATTAAGTAAAAAGTTAGTTCGTGTGGTGTAGAAATGGAAGTCGCAATATTCCCGGCAGTCAGTCATCCATTCACTGCACCAATCGTGCAATTCGTGCTATCTTCAATGTAGCAAAGTCATAGTTCGCCACATATAGGCCGGTTAGACCGAAGGGACGCCACGGTGTTACAGAAAACTGGCGTGAAACAACGAGTCACGACAAATCCCTAGGCCCTGACACACCTAAAAGGTCGGCAACGCACTCGTAACTCCTCTCCTCTGATGTTGTGGCGATTGCTTACCATACCATCAGGTGTTCCGTTACCTACGTCTGCTCGTTTCAATTTAGAAGAATAAACGAATCCCCCGAATGTTCTATCCCAGAACAATGGCTAGAGGGTTCAATATCCAGATCGGTTGATTACTAACGTGTAATGAAGAAACCTTCAAAAGTATGGGCACCGGGTCCTCTGAAAGAGACTTGCTCCGGAGCCCCTATGGTGCAATGCCTATTACGGCACATCCTGACATCCCTGGGGACGTGAGTGTACCTTGGGCATCGGTTTACACGGTACCACGTGATTACTGTGCTACCGTCTTCCTACCACCTTC